AGCCCAAAACAAAACAAAAACAAAATACCCCCCCCCAAAAAAAACAAAAACAAAAAAAACACACACACTAGAATAATAAATTTCATTATGGTGGTGAGAAAAAAAACTTTTTTAAAAAAATATTTTTTAGCCGGAACCGGTTTAGCTCAGTGGATAGAGCGTCGGCCTGCGGACTGAAAGGTCCCAGGTTCGATTCCGGTCAAGGGCATGTGCCTTGGTTGCGGGCACATCCCCAGTAGGGGGTGTGCAAGAGGCAGCTGATCGATGATTCTCTCTCATCGACGTTTCTAACTCTCTATCCCTCTCTCTTCCTCTCTGTGAAAAATCAATAAAAAATATTAAAAAATAAAATAAAATAAAAATAAAAAAATTCTTAAAAAAAAAATATATATATATATATATTTTTTTTATTGATATTTTACAGAGAGGAAGGGAGAGAGATAGAGAGCTAGAAACGTCGATGAGAGAGAAACATCCACCAGCTGCCTCTTGCACACACCCCACTGGGGATGTGCCCACAACCAAGGCACATGCCCTTGACCGGAATCGAACCTGAGACCTTTCAGTCCATAGACCGACGCTCTACCAGAGCCAAACCGGTTTTGGCAAAACTTTTTTTTTTTTTTTTTTTTACTATATTTTATTGATCTTTTACAGAGAGGAGGGAGAGGGATAGAGAGCTAGAAACATCGATGAGAGAGAAACATCCCCACAGGGAATGTGCCTGCAACCAGTGTACATGCCCTTGACTGGAATCCAACCTGGGACCTTTCAGTCCACAGACCGACGCTCTATCCACTGAGCCAAACCTGTTTCGGCAAAACAATAGTCCTCTGAGGTAATCAATCAATGTCTTTTTTTAAAGACTTTTAACTTTATAAATGTATCAAATTACTCTCCTCATCTTTTAGTTACTGAAGAATATGTATATTTACTAATAAAGATTCATTCATTGTAATATATCTAATTTAGAAAAAGATATTACATCCCCCAAAATGCAGCCTCTTGTACTAGTATAACTGCATTTATTATTAAGTCTCTAGGCACAGATGAGAGTAAACTTGAATGATTGGTTCCTTGGCAATGGGTAACACTGACTATATTCCCATGAATTAGCTAATTGCTTAATATGCCAATACGTTGTAAAAAGTACTTTAAAGACTTTATCTCACACAATCCTCATTCACAGTGAAAAGAAGTACCACAGACCGTAAACAATTTATTGTAGGTCACACAGTCAGTGAGCATGACTGGAAGGATTTGAATTCACTTTTGACACACCACAAAGAGGTACTTTATGAACAAGACTAGTAAATGCAATGAAGAACCTGTGTAGTGAAGCTTGCTGAATGGAGTGAAAAAACACTACCACTAGTTATCTACATGGTCTAGCCAATCATCTCTTTGGCCTATGCCTCAGTTTCCTTACTGAGGCTACTCTGATATGCACCAATGTTTTAAAAGTTTGTGTACTAAACTAAAGGTTATAAATTGACAAATAGCCAAAATATTAATTAATATAATAGGCTAGAAGCAAATTGACCATCACACCCTCACAAGATGACTGCCTACAACCATGCCAGCAGGGGGGTTAGTGAGTGACGACCAAAGGACTGAAAAAGCAGGCTGTGTGGGCAGTTAGGAGTGACCAAACTGGCAGGGAAGGGGCAGTAGGGGGCAACCTGGCCAGCAGCAGGGGGCAGTAAAAGGTGACCAGGCTGGCAGGGAGTTGAGGGGGGAGTTAGGGGCAATCAGGACAGCATGCACAACCAGTGAGGTGCAATCAGGCGGGGTGAGGGGGGGGGCAGTTAGGGGCAGGCAGGCAGGTGAGTGATTAGGAGCCAGCTGTTCAGGATTGTGAGAGAAATAATCCGACTTTCAGTTTAGGCCTGATCCCTCTAAACTGGCAGTCGGACATCCCCCAAGGATGCCAGACTGGAGAGGATACATACAGGCTGGGCTGAGGTGATACCCACCCCATGCACAAATTTCGTGTATCGGGTCTCTAGTATTATTATAAACTCACAATAACTTGATTTTCTAAAAAATACAAATCTCTCATTTTTCAAAACATTTAAATTTTATTTTGGAAGAACCTGGATATCATTGAATTTCCTTGGGTAGCTAACCCAATCCTACTGCTACTGTTTTTGGCTTTCTACCTTGAGGCACTCTTTTTTTAAATATATTTTATTGATATTTCACAGAGAGGAGGAAGGGAGAGAGATAGAGAGCTAGAAACGTCGATGAGAGAGAAACATCGACCAGCTGCCTCTTGCACACCCCCTACCGGGGATATGCCCGCAACCAAGGTACATGCCGCCCTTGACTGGAATCAAACCTGGGACCTTTCAGTCCGCAGACCACACTCTACCACTGAGCCAAACCGGCTTCGGCTTGAGGCCCCTCTTTTTTTTTTTTTTTTTTTAATATATTTTATTGATTTTGTACAGAGAGGAAGGGAGAGAGATAGAGAGTTAGAAACATCGATGAGAGAGAGTCATCGATCAGCTGCCTCTTGCACACCCCCAACTGGGGATATGCCCGCAACCAAGGTACATGCCCTTGACCGGAATCGAACCCGGGACCCTTCAGTCCCCAAGCCGACGCTCTATCCATTGAGCCAAACCAGTCCCGGCTTGAGGCACTTCTTAATACACTCAAGCCCTAGCCAGTTTGGCTCAGTGGATAGAGCATCGACCTGTGGACTGAAAGATCCCGGGTTCGATTCCAGTCAAGGTCACATGCCCCGGTTGTGGGCTTGATCCCCAGTAGGGAGCATGCAGGAGGAAGCCTATCAATGATTCTCTCTCATCATTGATGTTTCTATCTCTCTCTCCCTCTCCATTCCTCTCTGAAATAAATAAAAATAAATTTAAAAAAATAAAACACTAAGCCGAAACCGGTTTGGCTCAATGGATAGTGTCGGCTTGGGGACTGAGAGGTCCCGGGTTCGATTCCAGTCAAGGGCATGTACCTTGGTTGCAGGCACATCCCCAGTAGGGGGTGTGCAAGAGGCAGCTGATCGATGACTCTCTCTCATCGATGTTTCTAGCTCTCTCTCTCCCTTCCTCTCTGTACAAAATCAATAAAAATATATTTTAAAATAATAATAATAAAACACTCATAAAAAATTAAAAAAAAAACACTCAGAAGAAAAATTTTCAATTCCAAAAGCATTGCTAAGTATGATATACTATTTTGCTGAAAGCTCTTCCTCAAAATCCTCTCTAATTACCTTTGCTTTTTTCCCCAAAGTTCATTCACCCCAGGGCAGTGGCCACATTTCTTTCTTTCCTATTTCTATCAATTTCTCCAGCCTCCCTTCCACACACTCTAAAAATCCCATTTGCTGGTACCCAATAGGACACATGGCCAAGAGTAGGCCAAAACCCAATGAGGTTCCAGGTCATAATAGGTATCTTTATACAGTATTTTACTGCTACCTCCTTTAACTTCTGGGATAAACCAATGGTCTAGAAATTCTATCAGACTTTATAAAGCATCCTTCTTATCAAGTTTTCACCCCTACCCCAAAGCCACTGTCAATATATGACAAGAGTATACTATTATACATGTAATGAAAGTAATCCCATTTTGTTTTCAAGTTGTATTAGTGTATCTAATGTTCCATTAAAAGGCTAGATTTACATATGCAAACATATTAAAAAGTACACATCTCAATATCCACCTTCCAAACTAATTTTGATTTAGACTCATTTGATTATGAGAAAAACAGTATTATTTTAGTTTTTTAAAGTTTTCCAATTTCTTTCTATATATAAGCATCTCAATTTTTTGTCAATAAGCAGGGCACAACTTGCCAGAAGGAAAAAATTGGATGAAGGAAAGAAAGGGAAACCCCCTTATGAAGTTAGAGCAAACTTCTGCCATGTACTCATCTAGACAATGGAATTTACAATAGAATCTAAATTACCATAAGGATTTGCCCAGAATCAGTGATTTACAATACCATTTTTTAAATTTAAGGTGTAATTTGTGATTTTTCAATAAATTTATCTTGAAGGAAAAAAAAAAGAATGATATTCCACAAACAATAACAAACTATTAAGACAGCAAAGGTAAAACCAAGCTAGGCATAGGAAAGACAATCCTACATTTACCACCCTGGATTACAAGCAAGGAAAGCCCTCACACCACCATTCACAAGTCTCAGTTCAAGCAATTTATTTTTGGCAAGCCAAATCACAGCTGTCAACGCTGGGTTTTTTTCCACCCCAAAATTATATAAGTTATTTTGAAAAAAATATATAGACATCTTCAACTGGGGGAAAAGTAAGTTATAAATGCCGTGTGTTGTTATAAATGCTTTATAAAAAAATTTTAAAAAGTCACACGGAAGTTTTGTTTTTTAAAAAAAGAGCAAACAAACAAACCCTGGAAGATGCAGCAGAGCCCCCTTGCTCCCGAAATAAAACTCCTGGTGGCTGTAACAGCAGCGGCAGCGCTACTCCCGACAGAAGTTTTCAGCTGTCACTTCTAACAGCTGAGCGCTTCCTAGGAGAGAAGCGACAGGCCGAGAAGAGAGGTGGTTGTGGGAGGTCCGAAGATGGAATACTTGAAACCTTACACTCGAAGGGAAACCCTTCCGCACTTCACCTGCACTTAGGGGGACACCCAGCAAGCGCGGTCCCTCTCCCCCCAACACGCGCTCCGCCGCTCGCGCCCCGCCGCCCTCAGTCAGCTGGAGGAAGCCGCCGCGCGCCGTCCGCGGTCCCCGCGCGGACGGCTCCCGGCTGCGCTGCTCTGGGGCGAGGGACGCCACCTGCACCTGCGAGCCCCGCAGCGGCCTCTCCCCTCGGGCCAGGTCCGCCCCGCCCGCTCCCCTGTCTCGGGCCGCGCGGCGCTTCAGCTGGCCCCGGAGACTACGCACCCCCTGGGTCTCCGCGCTCTCGGACGCGCCGTGCTTCCCGGGCCCGCCCCGCCGCCCCGCCGCCCCGGCCCTGTCACCGCCGGCCCCCCGGGACCACGGGCCTCACCCCCTCCTCCAGCTCATCCTCAGAGCCCGCGTCCTCTGGCTGGTCCAGGTCTATGTCAAACACTCCTGCCATGTCCTCAGCTTCCCTGTCTCGGAAGTCCGGCGCTGGGTAGAAGCCGTCCCGCCTCCGTCGTCGCCTCATGGGCCCGGACTCGCCGCAGACAGCACCGCCGCTGCCGCCATCACTGGCTGCTTGAGCTCAGTGCGTCTGCGCTTAGGCCTGAGACTGGCTCAAGTTCAGCGCGCGAGCATGCGTACAAGCTTATGTGAAGCCGACGGTGGGCAAGGCACATGCGTACAGCGATCGCCAGGACGCAGGTACTGGCAGACACATGCGCAGAAGCCCAGCCGAAGCCGCTCGTGGAAGCTAGAGCATGCGCATTGCCAGCTCAAGCATTTGCTCAACAGGGAGCATGCGTACGGTGTCTGAAGTTGATAAATTGAAATTGAACATGCGTAATTAACCTTTCTGAAGAGGAAAAGAAAAAAAAAAATACAACAAAACTCTACGTTTGTGGAACATGCGCATTAGTTCTCCCTAGGGTTTTTTTTTTTCTTTTCTTTTTTTTTTGGGGGGGTGGTGTTGAAAGTGAGCATGCGCATAATGGCCCTTTGAAGTTTGAACAGAACAGAAACGGCTGGTCCGGGGGCTGTCAGTGAGTGGGGTTAATGGGGGAACTCCTAGGATGAGTGGGGAAAGGGAGAGTCTTGGCTTTGCTATTTATTACTTAAGTGGGCATGGGAAAGTTACATAACCTTCCAGAGCCTCAGTTTCCCTATCTCTAAAATGAGAGTAATGATTCATAGTTTGCAAGGTAGTTTGAAAATTATGAGTACGGCCCTTAGCTGGTTTGGCTCAGGGGATAGGGCCTCCGCCTGCAGACTGAAGGGTCCCTGGTTCCATTCCAGTCAGGGCACAGGCCGGGTTGCGGGCTCGATCACCAGTAGGGGGCGTGCAGGAGGCAGCTGATAAGTGATTCTCATCATTGACATTTCTATCCCTCCCTCTCTGGAATCAATAAAAATATATTTTAAAAAAGAAAAAAAATTATTAGTACAGAGTATGGCTCACAGGTCACTGCTCTTTCCAGTGCTGCATAGACCTGGTGTGAGGTATTTACAAAAAATAAAAAATAAAAATTATCTTTGTTAAAAAATAGTGAAGTCTTACTGTAATATTTCATCTGATCCAATTTTTCCAAGCTTGGTCTTCTTTGCTGTCCTACCTAAGCTAAACACAGTTTTTCTTATGTGTTACTGTAGTTACCAGGCCAGAAAGGTGAATGGTGGAGTGAGAGAAAGTCATTATTTAGAACAGAGAAAATTGTTAATTAATACATGTACAATTGTTGAGTTAACTTCTGCATTCTATGTGTCCCTGTGGTGGGAAGTGTATAGTATTAATTCTTTCAACAGCATGCGTTTTGTTTTGTTTTGTTTAAATACATGCATGGGAAAATAGCAAATACAAATCAAATTTTGGGAACTGTTGAGCTGTGTATGAATAGATTTGGGTACAATAAATTCAAAATCCCAAAACCATGTAGAGAAAAAGAACAACTTCCTTAAATGACTGGTTCCTTAGACGACATAGCTATTTCATCTATAACACCGTACATGCATATGGTATTTTTTAAATTATGAATTTAATTTACATGGCATTTTATTTGTTCTTTATTGATAATGTAGTGGTTCTCAAAACCTATTTTTCTATTACAGGTTGCTCACTTTTTTTGAGGAAATAGGCCTAGTGTGTGTCTCAGCATGTCAATAGTAACACTGCAACTTGGTCAGAGTGGCAATCAGATTGGTTTTGAAGTATTTGATGCTCTGTTTAGTGATTCACACTGTTCCCAGGGACTCTGCTCTAAAAGAGAGAATGAGGCATATCAAGCATCTTGCAAAGAAAGATTCTTCAGTGAGGAGGAAAATGGAGGTATGTGTGGCTCAAATCCTCCCCTTTACTCTGACATAACCAACCAACATCGAGTCTGAATTTCATCCCTTCCCATCTTTTTAGGGAATGACTTTGCACTTGATCCTTTGTTTCTGTGCTAACAACCTTCCCCCTCGGCACAAGAGCATGCTCAGATCTTGCCTATTTAAAAACAACAAAACAAACAAAACTTATCTCTTGACTATAACTTTTTGTCTTCTTTATTATCTCTTTACCTACTCAGCTAAGAGTCTCAAAGGATTTCCCACTTTATTTATTTGTTTGTTTGTTTGTTTATTTATTTTTTATTTATTGGAGTTCCAGTGGCACAATCGGTTAGCGCGGTACTTATAGGATTTCCCACTTTAACCAGCTATAATCTTGCTTCTGCCCTACACCACTGACGCTGCTCTAAGAAGAGCTCTCAGTGTTAGCCTAATTACCCAATCCTGTGACTGTTTTATTTTCTTATTTACTTAATTCTCTATTGGATTTGTAATTAACTCTAAAACTCCTTTTTTTAAAAAAAAAAATTTTATTGATTTTTATCAGAGAGGGAGAGGGATAGAGAGTTAGAAACATCAATGAGAGAGAATCATCGATCAGCTGCCTCCTGCACACCCCTCACTGGGGATGTGCCCCCAACCAAGGTACATGCCCTTGACCAGAATCGAACCTGGGTCCTTTCAATCCAAGACCAATGCTCGATATCCACTGAGCCAAACCGGTTTTGGCTAAAACTCCTTCTTAGAATCTGAACCTTTCTTCTCCAATGGTTGTATCGCAGGTGCCCCTGTCTTCACGTGTATATTATAGTTCTCTCTGGGCAATTTCAGTTTCTCTTGTAATTTGTGACATCTTTTACACGAATGACTCAAATCTCTAGCCTTGCCTCACTTTCAAGCACAGTTAGTGGACGTCTCTACCTGCATCTCCCATGTGTACTTCAAAGTCAGCATCTCCATATCCAGCATCGTTCATTATCTTTCCTTTAAAACTTGGGCTCTTGCCCTATCCGGTTTGGCTCAGTGGATAGAGCGTGGGCCTATGGACTGAGGGGTCCCAGGTTTGATTCTGGTCAAGGACTTGTATCTTGGTTGTGGGCCCATCCCCAGTATGTGTAGGAGGCAGCTGATGGATGTTTCTCTCTCATCGATGTTTCTAACTCTCTATCCCTCTCCCTTCCTCTATGTTAAAAAAAAAAAAAAAAAAATCAATAAAATATATTTTAAATAAATAAAACTTGGGCTCTTACTTCCCGCATACCATCAGATATCAAGATCTTAATTTAGCCGAAGCCGGTTTGGCTCAGTGGTAGAGCGGCGGTCTGCAGACTGAAAGGTCCCAGGTTCGACTCCCATCAAGGGCATGTACATTGGTTGAGGGCACATCCCCGGAAGGGGGTGTGCAAGAGGCAGCTGGTCGATGTTTCTCTCTCATCGACGTTTCTAGCGCTCTATCCCTCTCCCTTCCTCTCTGTAAAAAAAAAAAAAAATCAACTGAAAAAAAAAAAAAAAGATCTTAATTTAGCTCAACCAGTGTGGCTCAGTGGTGGAGTGTAAAAGTCACGGTACAATTCCGGGTCAGGGTACATGCTTGGGTTTGGGGTTTTGGGCTCAATCCCCAGTAGGGGCCAGGGAGTGCAGGAAGCAGCTGATAGATGTTTCTTTCTCATCAATGTTTCTATCTCTCCCTCTCCCTTCCTCTTTCTGAAATAAATCAAAACATATTCAAAAAGATCTGCTTGATTTACCTCCTACATATCTCTTGAAACTCTTCTGCCTTTTCCATGTTCACTGTCATTACCTTAGTTTTGACTCTTGTCCTCTCTCACATGGGCTGTTTCAAGACACTCTGAGTTTCCCTGTCTAAACTCCTATGTCTATCACATCTATCCTCCACACTGCTATATTAAAAAGACATCTGGCCCTAGCTGGTTTGGCTCAGTGGATAGAGCGGGCCTGCAGACTGAAGGGTCCCAAGTTTAATTCCAGTCAAGGGCACATGCCCGGGTTGTGGGCTCAATCCCCAATAGGGGGGTGTGCAGGAGGCAGCCAATTAATGATTCTCTATCATCATTGATGTTTCTCTCTCGCTCCCTCTACCTTCCTCTCTGAAATTAATAAATATAGCTTTAAAAAAAAGACATCTGGCTAAAACTGGTTTGGCTCAATGGATGGAGCATCGGCCTGTGGACTGAAGGGTCCCAGGTTTGATTCCGGTCGGGGGCATGTACCTTGGTTGCGGGCACATCCCTAGAGTGGGGTGTGCAGAAGCAGCCGGTTGATGGTTCTCTCTCATCAATGTTTCTAGCTCTCTATCCCTCTCTTCCTCTCTGTGAAAAATCAATAAAATATATATTTTTAAAAAAAGACATCTGATTATTCCTCACTTGCTTGAACATCTTCAGTGGTTCATTTCAAGCTTTTAACATTGTACACAAGGACTTCCAAGATCTGAGCCCTGCCTGCTTTCCATCTCCATACATCACTTCTTCTACTTCCTCCTCTATCATCTGCTTCAACAATCCTAAACTGCTCGTTGTGTTCATGGTATTTTGTACCTCCGAATATACTACTCAGTGTGGATTTGTCATGGGTCATCACATGATAGAGTGATTGTTTCATCTCTCCAACTAGCCCTTCTAGGGCTGGATTGGTGTAGTCTTCATCTCTGTGTTCCCAGTACATAGCACATTGTAAGCACTCAACAGATGTTTGTAGACCTGACCCAGTGACCATTGTAACTCACACTGATTCATCTTGCTTAGCAGAATGCTAGACATTATGAGCCATCTGCATATACCTGCTGCTGCCCACCTTGATTTCTGAGCAGTATGACCACTCTTTCTATCCTCATACTTCAGATTTTGTGTGTGTGTGTGTGTCGGGGGGGAGGACTTAGAAGTTTATACTCTGTGTTAGCCTAAATATGACATATGAAATATTCTTTTATTTCATCCCCCACCCCATTTCTAGTTCCAATTGCCCGGGCTGTACTTGTTGACATGGAACCTAAAGTTATCAATCAAACACTATCAAAGGCTTCCCAGTCTGGCCGATGGAAATATGGCCAGCGTTCATGCTTCTGTCAAAAACAAGGTTCTGGAAACAACTGGGCATATGGGTAAGAATAATTCATCATGATTTTTCCATTTAGATACTGCTACATAGTCGATTAGTAGAGAGTGTAGTTACAACTGCACGGTTGATATACTGTGTGCATAATCTTAAAATTGCTATTTTAAAATGTAGGGCATAAAAAAATAAAATCAAATAAATAAAATGTAGGGCGTGACTTCACCCAGAAGAAACTCTCATTTTATCTCATGGATGTCTGTGCTTCAGGTCCAGGTAATGAAAAAACCGTGGACCTCTTACTGCAGGGTTTTCCACTTCTTCACTGTCATTCTGCCAACAAACTTATTATCAATATATTTATCACACAAGTATTTCAGGAAATAGGGAATACAATGAGGCAGTAGTATTTCCTGGAGTTCTTTGGGAAATTCAAGTACCTAGGCTCAATTCAAAAATTCTGATTTAGCTGAAACCAGTTTGGCTCAGTGGGTAGAGTGTCAGTCTGGGGACTGAAAGGTCCCAGGTTCAATTGCGGTCAGGGGCATGTACATTGGTTGCGGGCACATTCCCGGTAGAAGGTGTGCAGGAGGCAGCTGGTCGATGTTTCTCTCTCATCGATGTTTCTAGCTCTCTATCTGTCTTCCTTCCTCTCTGTAAAAAATATCAATAAAATATATCTTTTAAAAAAAAATCCTGATTTAATTAGTATGGGAAGAAGCCCAGATATTGGGATTTTTCAAAGCTTCCCTGAGTGATTGTAGTGTGCAAAAAAGTTTCAGAACCACTGCTTTAGGAGTATTGTTATGAGTATTGAATATTATGTTGTACCATACCCTTACAGAACTACCTGGTGGTTGGAGTCTCCAGCTAAAGGAATGGCCTGTAACAGGATTTTCTGTATCTAGTCAATTCACTGTCCTAGCATTCCTACTCTCCTGTTAAGTATGTTTTAACTTGTGTATTTTAAATTTTGTGCCTTTCATGAGAGTTAGTTCCCTTTCATGGGTTTAAACAGCCTTCTCTGTCCTATATCTTTCTCTCTGCATTGCATATCTCTGGTTAAACTGTAAGGTTTATATTTGTCCCTTTTGCGTTGCATAGTTACTCTGTTCATGGACCCAGACATGCAGAATCTATAATGAACCTAATCCAGAAGGAAGTAGAGAAATGCGACTCCTTGAGTGGTTTTTTCATCGTAATGAGTATGGCTGGAGGCACAGGATCTGGGCTGGGTGCCTTCATTACACGGAATTTACAAGATCAGTATTCCAACTCTTTGAAAATGAATCACATTATATGGCCTTATGGAACTGGCGAGGTAAGAACACATTCATTAGAAGTTTTACATTTTTATATTTCAATCCTGCTGCAGTTGCAATACCTATAGGCAAAAGATTGATCTGACCCTTTCTTTGGAAATGTTAAGTCACTGCTTCACGAGTGACTATACAATATGGTACCTGCGTGGACAATTCATTTAACTTTGCTCAAACTTTTGCAAACAGATGAGGTGTCCTGGTCTCTAAAAATTCCAAAGAAGACAATTGTGCATTTTCTCTCAGGGACACATTCCTGAGTTAGTGCCACTGTCTACACTTGCAGTGTTTCCCAAAGTGTGGTACGCGTACCCCCAGGGGTACGGGAAGAGTTTGGTGGGGATATGCACTGCACTGTGCTTAGCTGAGCCTAATTCTATGTTCTCATGAGTATAAGGGGTATTCAGCATTACGAAAATTATAAAAGGGGTACACATATGTCGAAAGTTTGGGAAACACTGGTCTGCAGTATAAGAAGCAGACACCTTGAGAAATCATAACATGGAGGTGAGATAAGTCACTCTAGGAAGAAAGTGTGATAGTAACGCCGGCCATCCATTGAATCTTGACTATACACAGCACACTGTTCTAGTGATTTACATGCATTCTGTCATCAACCTTTAAAACTTTAGGAGGCTGGTATAATTATTATTCCCATTTTACAGAGAGGAAACTGAGCCAGAGTGATTGTGTACAAGGTCATATAGCCAGAAAGTGATAGGGCCAGGACTTGATCCCAGGCAGGATGATCTCCATCCTCTTAACCACTATTTCTCTCCTGCCTTTCTCATTTCTGACCTCCTCTCCAGGTTATTGTTCAGAATTACAACTCCATTTTGACTCTTTCTCACCTGTACCGATCTTCAGACGCCCTCCTTGTTCACGAGAATGATGCTCTTCATAAGATCTGTGCAAAACTGATGAACATCAAGCAGATCTCCTTCAGAGATATAAATCAGGTCCTCGCCCACCAGCTGGGAAGTGTGTTCCAGCCTACTTACTCTGAGGAGGGCTCATCTCACTACAGAAGAAATCCACTAGGTACTTGTCCTCCTGTATGTTACTGACAGGAAAGTCTCACGTTCTGAAAGCCTCCAAGTTATTCTTTCTTGGCTCCTCTCCTCTGCCTGAAGATACACTCCGTCTCCCTCATCTCAAAAGCCTTCCTAAGGCGCTGCTTAGCTCTCTGAACTGTCTTACTGAAATGTTTTGGGAAGTTACTAAATTCTCTAAAGAGTGGTGGATGCCCATAGACTATTCTTCAGTATTCTCTCTCTCTCTCTTTCTCAGGAAAACTTTGAGGTATAATTCACATAACATACAATGCACCCATTTCCAGTGTACAAGTCAGTGTTTTTTAACATATCCACAAAGTTGTACAACCATCATTTTTATCACTCCAAAAAGACCCATCACCCGGCTGGAGCGGCTCAGTGGTTGAGTATCGACCTATAAACCAGAAGGTCACGGTTCGATTCCCAGCCAGGGCATATGCCTGGGTTGCGAGCTCAATCTTCGGTGTGGGGCACGTAGGAGGCAGCCAGTCAATGGTTCTCTCTCAACATTGATGTTTCTGTCTCTCTCTTCCTCTCTGAAATCAATAAAAAATAAAAATAAATCCACCATTCTTTTTTCAGCTTATTTGGCAAATAGTGCCTTATCAATTCAAATCACCTAGATGCAAATGACTCTATAATCTATACCCCCTCCTCCCTCTGCCCCCACCCAATCTCTTTCCTAAATAGTTTTCTCTTTCCCTATCCCAGTTTTTTTAGTTACCTTGTGCCTCTTCAAATTTAGCATGTTCTGAATGGATTTATCATTTCCCCCCGTCTTTCTCTCCTGCCACTTCTTCCTCAGTTCATATCACTGATTTCTTCCACTGTCCTCATATCTCATCAGTGTACTCAGGCCTGTAGGTGCCATCTCAGTCATCTGTCTGCATTCTTCCTCTTTGCTTTTTCTGACAGCCCCTCTACTGATTTTTTTTTTCCCTATCTCCATGACTACTCCTTTTATTCCCCTTTTTCCTCTGTTTTTCAGGCTCTAAATGCTAGTCTTGGATCCTCTCCCCAGTTCCACAGCTTTAAATACCACTGTCTTTTCCAACCTGCCAGTTTATCTCCAACTCTGACCGATTCCCTAAGCTCCAGATTTCTATACTGAGCAGCTGTCCTGACATCTCTATGTACACATTTCATGGACATTCCAAACACACTGAGTCTAAAACAGGTCCCTTAACTTTGCTCCAATTTTGTTTCTTTCTCAGTTGCTCAATTTTTAAAATGTAAGTCCCCTAAAGACCTCAGATACCCACATAGTTCTGCTCAAGTGTTTGAAGAGACTTCACCTTCTCAACAAAGCAATTGGGGATTGTGAATTCCTAGGGGGTCCCCGTCTGCCATCTGGGGTGACTTTCTATACTCTGACAGAGAATGAGAAGCACGGGGCTGATCCAAGATTGGATTTTTTCACCAGAAAGATTTGATGAGGCAGAAGGACAAGGAACAGCATAAGGAGGGAGGTGAAGAAAAGGGAAGACTCTTCTGACTGGTTTGGCTCAATGGATAGACTCGCAGGGGTCCTCAAACTTTTTAAAGTGGGGGCCAGATCACGGTCCCTCAGAGAGCTGGAGGGCCGGACTATATGAACTACTAATTCCTACTGTAACACCTCGGCTGCGCTCACTGCCCCAAAAACCTGGCGGGCCAGATCAGACTCCTCTGCGGGCCGCATGTGGCCCGCGGGCCGTAGTTTGAAGACGCCTGGTAGAGCCTCGGCCTTGGACTGAAGGGTCCTGGGTTTGATTCTGGTCAAGGGCATGTATCTCAGTTGCAGGCTCAATCCTTTGCCTGGTTGGGTATGTGTAAAGGCAACCAATTGATATGTCTCTCTCACATCAATTTTCTCTCTCTCTCTCTCTCTCTGACTCTCCCTCTCCCTTCCACTCTCTCTAAAAATCAATGGAAAAATATCATCAGGTGAATCAGGTGAGGATATTTTTTAACAAAACAAAAAAAACAAAAAGAAAAAAAGAGCCAAAACCATTTTTGGCTCAGTGGATAGAGCATCAGCCTTCTGACTGAAAGGTCCCAGGTTCGATTCTGGTCAAGGGCATGTACTTTGGTTGTGGGCACATCTCCAGTAGGGAGTGTGCAAGAAGCAGCTGATCGATGTTTCTCTCTCATCGATGTTTCTAATTCTATCCCTCTCTCTTCCTCTCTGTAAAAATAAATAAATAAATAAATAAATAAATAAATAAATAAATAATAAATAAAATATATTAAGAAAGAAAGAGATAAAAAAAAAGGAAAAAGGGGAAGACTGATGGATTGAGAAGGCAGGATGTTGATAGATTAGTCTATCTTAGTCCACTAAGGCTGCTATAATGCATAGGCTGGATGGCATGTAAACAACATAAATTTGTTTCTCATAGTTCCAATTACCATTTAACTAGATAAAATAAATTAGAGAACTAGGAAAATTTCTAAAGGAATATTTAGTGAATACAGAAAGACAATAAAAGCATATTAATTCTTATACTTATTCTTTCAACTAAATATTTCATTCATATAAACAGTTACTTGGCTTCTAAACTCTTTATTTCTTTTTTGGCAAAGTGTTATTTCTCACTCATGCTAACATCGGTGCCAAAATGAAGCAAACACATAGTCTGTCTCTGAAATTTTATTTACATTTAAAAATTTAAGCAGTTCTGGCTTGGAAGAGAAAATACTCAGACCATCAAATTGTGGTTGTGTATAGACCAACAGGAACAATGTGGAATTAAAATTTCAGTTAACATTTCTTTTTTTTCCTCACAGGAGACTTAATGGAGAATTTAGTTTCCCATCCGGAATTCAAGCTGCTGGGTGTTCGTAACATTCCCCAAATGTCTGAGCACTCCCTGGCCTACAGCACGTTCACGTGGGCTGGCCTCCTCAAGCATTTGAGACAGATGCTCATTTCCAATGCAAAAATGGAAGAAGGTAAAGGGTATTTTAAAAATATGTCACCCAAAAGCTGGGAAGAATGCTTGGGGTTCTCAATATAAACTGGCAGGGGCAGTTAAAAAATAATGGCCCGCCGGAACAGGTTTGGCTCAGTGAATAGAGCATTGGCCTGTGGACTGAAAGGTTTCAGGTTTGATTCTGGTCAAGGGCATGTACCTTGGTTGCGGGCACATCCCCAATTGGGGGGAGGAAGGGGTGCAAGAGGCAGCTGATCGATGATTCTCTCTCATCAATGTTTCTAACTCTCTATCCCTCTCTTTTCCTCTCTGTAAAAAATCAATAAAATATTAGCCGAAACCGGTTTGGCTCAATGGATAGAGCGTCGGCTTGGGGACTGAAAGGTCCTGGGTTCGATTCCGGTCAAGGGCATGTACCTTCGTTGTGGGCATATCCCCAGTAGGGGGTGTGCAAGAGGCAGCTGATCGATGTTTCTAATTCTCTATCTCTCTCCCTTCCTCTCTGTACAAAATCAATAAAATATATTTTTTTTAAAAAAATCAATAAAATATTAAAAAAAAAAAAAATGGCCCCCTCTTCTGGCCAGGGAGGAGCCTGACTCACAGGACATCCCAGGAGGGCTTCCTAATCACCTCACAGTGTCATTCCCGAAATAATTTCTGATAAATGTGACATTTATTTTTATTTATACTTTATTTTTATCAAAGTAATATATGAACAGAGTTTTTAAAAATAAGTAACTAAGCCCTAGCCAGTTTGACTCAGTGGATAGAGCATCAGCGTGTGGACTGAAGGGTCAGTTCTATTCTGGTCAAGGGCACATGACTGGGTTGCGGGCTCGATCCCCATAGGAGGCATGCAGGAGGCAGCCAATCAATGAGTCTCTCTCATCATTGATGTTTCTCTCTCTCCCCCTCTCCCTTCCTCTCTGAAATCAACAAAAAAAATATATTAACAAAATTTTAAAAAGCAAGTAGTTAAAATTACTTAAGTGTATACTTAAGTCCATTTTAGTACTTACAGATTTGTATTATAAACATAAGGTATTTACAGATTTTGTTTACATACATTGCAGTGTATGTATATTATATCTCAATCTTTTTTAAAAAAAGCCAAGTAATTGTCCTGCATGAATTTATAATGAGGAAAAGAGCAGTGCCCTATCCTACACTGCCCAGCTGATGCCTTCCTTTCCATGTTTTTAGCTGCTGGAATTTGCCTCCATGTTTCTAAATATCTTGCTTATACTGTTATTTATGTTATGTTCCATGTTTATATATTATCAATTGCCTCCCTAATGTAAAAATGGAGGATAGAATCTTCTTACATGCTCTATACACACACACACACACACAAACAAACACACACACCCACACACATTTTTTACTAGATCAGTTTTCTTTTTTTTTCCATTTTATTTTATAATAAATTTTTATTGTTCATATTATTACAAATGTTCTTTCCCCCCCCCCCCCCCCCAATCCATTGGTCTCCTCCACCAGGTTCCCACCCCACCCTCTGCCCTTTCCCCACCCCCCATTGTCCTCATCCATAGGTGCAGTTTATGTTCAGTCTCTTCCCACATCCCCCTTTCCCTTTTTCCCCTTCCATACCTCTGATTCTATTATATTCAACAGTTAATATTGTTCATCAGATTTTTTTTTTTAATTTCCTTGGTTTTTAGATTCACTTGTTGATAGTTACGTATTTGTTGTTCATAATTTTTATCTTTATTTACTTTCTCTTGTGAAAGAACCCCCTTTAGTAAATCATATAATTCTGGTTTGGTGGTGATGAACTCCTTCAGCTTTTTTTTTTATTAGTGAAGCTCTTTATCTGACCTTCGATTCTGAGTGATAGCTTTGTTGGGTAGATTATCTTTGGCTGTAGGTTCTTACTATTCATCACCTTGAATATTTCTTGCTATTCCCGTCTGGCCTGCATGGTTTCTGTTGAGAAATCAGCTGACAATCGTATAGGTGCTCCTTTATAGGTAACTACCTGCTTTGCTCTTGCTGCATTTAATATTCTCTCTTTGTCTTTTGCTCTTGGAATTTTAATTATGATTTGTCTTGGTGTGGTCCTCTTTGGATTCCTTTTGTTTGGAGTTCTGTGTGCTTCCTGGACTTTAAGTAATTCTTTCACCAGGTGGGGAAAGTTTTCTGTCACTATTTCTTTCAGTATGTTTTCGATATCTTGCCTCTCTCATCTTCTGGGACCCCCATAATTCTGATGTTGGTTCACTTGAAGTTGTCCCAGAGGTTTCTTACATTATCTTCAATTTTCTGGATTCTCTTGCCCTCTAGCTTCTGCAGAGGAGTGTCTTCTGGCTCTTTATGTTCCAAATCTTTGATTTGATTCTTGCGATCTTCCATTCTGTTTTTAGGACTCTGTATAATATTTTTTATTTCAGACAATGTATTCTTTATTTCTTGTTGATCCCTTATCATTTCTTGTTGATTCCTTATTAATTCTAGTTGATCCTTTTTCATATCCTCATAAGTCTTATCGATCTTTTCTAGGAAATTCTTGAAAAACCTTATAAGCGTAGATTTGAACTCTATATCCAGTCGCTTTTTGTCCTCCATTTCTTTCGTTTGTGATATATTTCGTTGTCTCGGCATTTTCGCAGCTTCCCTGATGGGGCGGGGTTTCAGGGTGGAGCCGACAGCCTTGGCTTCCGTCAGCCCCGCCATATGCGGTTCCTGAGTTTCAGGGTCCTTCAGTACTCACTGCAAGCACCTCTGAGAAAGATGCCCTAGATTTTCACCTGCTACCAAACAGTCTAGGCTCTCCCTCAATGAGCCCAGAACTGGGGTTCAGTTCAGTTTGAAGTGGGGTTGGAGGTGGTGTTCAAAGCAGTTTGGAGCCCCTGTCTCCTTCCTGCCAGGGCAATCTCGGAGGCACAGCAATGTGTGCGCCTCCGGGACCTCCTTTCGCCGCTCCCCCGGGGTTCCGCCTTACAGCCCAGCTCCCTATGGATGAGCCTGGGCCCCCGGGGTCTGGCCTAGAACTGGGGTTCAGAGCAGTAGGAACTGGGGCCCAGCACAGTCGGAGCTTTTATCTCCTTCCCGCTAGGAAACGCCCACCAGGCACTCAGCCGCCCCCTCCTCTCCGGCTCCGTTCTCTCCATGTGCGCCACAGTTCTCTGTACCTTAGGCTTTTCCAGCTCCTCCGCTCCTCCTTCTGGTTTTCTCCTTGCTTCTCGTCATAGAATTTCCAGTCGACTTTCCTGTCGTTCTGGGTAATGTCCATTTTATATTTTAGTTGTATTCTATTGAAATTGTTGTGTGTGGCTGCGGCTAGGTGTTTACCTGTGCAGCCATCTTGGATTCTCCTACTAGATCAGTTTTCAAGGTTTGAATTACTTTTGCTACGTAAATACTCATAGTTCAGCCATGTAATATCATTCTTCTACCCTTTCACAACATTGATAGTTTGGTCATGTACAGGATTCGAGGTTGGGAATAATGTTTTTAAAAATATATATTTTTATTGATTTTTTTTACAGAGAGCAATACGCAATAGTGTCCCTCAGGCCAGAGGCTCGGTGGCTTAGCCCTTCCTGATGGAGGGGTGCACTCCCCCTGCCGCAGGGAGCGGGAAGGGGCTGGGCTCTCAGTGCTTCTCAGCCAGAGTTGTAACATCCTCCTGTTTCTTCCTCTTTTATTTTTTATTTTATTTTATTATTAATATATTTTATTGATTTTTTATAGAGAGGAAGAGAGAGGGACAGAGAGTTAGAAACATCGATGAGAGAGAATCATTGATCAGCTGCCTCCTGCAGACTCCCCACTGGGAATGTGCCTGCAACCAAGGTACATGCCCTTGACTGGGATCAAACCCGGGACCCTTGAATCCGCAGGCCAACGCTCTATCCACTGAGCAAACTGGTTTCGGCTCTTCCTCTTTTAGAAGTGCCTGGCGCTCCTCCAGGACCTCCTCTGGGCGCAGGAGTTTCAGCTTTCCCCGCTCCTTCATTTGCTTTCCAGCTTCCAACATTTTGCTGCCATTATCTCCTCTGCCTTTTTTCTTGCTTATGCTTTAAAAAAAAAAAAATCCTTGTACTATCTTGTTAGTGAGATTTGGGAAGATAGTGGCAGTGAACTTGTTTATTTAATCTGTCATGTTTAACTGGAAATCACTACTGAGGATTATCTTTGTAGTGTAGTATGTTTTACCACGAATCACAATAATTTAGGTTTCAATTCTGTGAAAGTGGATTTCTTCTACATTATTTAATTGTAATTCCCTAGGGATTTTAGGTTATAGTGCCTGGGGTTTGGAGGTAAGTGGATAGTTCACACCTTAAAGTAATGCTTCCGGAATGTTTTGGGCCACAGTCCACAGTATATACCTGTTTTTCTAGCAAAACCTGTTAACATCTCAAGGAACACTGCGTTCCTAAGGGCAGTATAAGATGTGCTGTGCTGAGCTTAGGTCAATAAACTATAATTTGCTTAGTCATTTTCCTATGAAGGACTGTAGGGTGTTAACATTTTTTTTCAGTTATAGATAGAGCTTTTTTTAAAAATTGAATTTATTGCTGAAACCGGTTTGGCTCAGTGGTAGAGCGTCGGTCTGCGGACTGAAAGGTCTCGGGTTCGATTCAGGTCAGGGGCATGTACGTTGGTTGCGGGCACATCCCGGGTAGGGGGTGTGCAAGAGGCAGCTGGTGGATGTTTCTCTCTCATTGACGTTTCTAGCTCTCTATCTTTCTCCTTTCCTCTCTGTAAAAATCAATAAACTATATTTTTTTAAAAATACTTCTCAACAACTTTTAAAAAATTTGAATTTATTGGGGTGACATTGGTTAATAAAATTATCTAAGTTTTAGGTGTACAATTCTACAATAGAGCTTTGAACATATAAATATTCATGTATGTAAATATATGAATAAATATATATACATCGCTAACAAGGTTGAAGAATACAGTTTTTTGTTTGTTTGTTTTAAAGAGATTTTAAATTTATATTTTATTGATTTTTACAGAGAGGAAGGGAGAGAGATAGAGAGCTAGAAACATCGATGAGAGAGAAACACCGACCAGCTGCCTCCTGCACACCCCCCACCGGGGAAGTGTCGCAAGCAACCAACGTACATGCCCCTGACCAGAATCGAACCTGGGACCTTTCAGTCCGCAGACCGACGCTCTACCACTGAGCCAAACCGGTTTCGGCGAAGAATACAGTTTTAAAACTCTTCATTTGTTATCAGACTGCTCTATATAAGGACTGACCCCACTAATATTGCCATCAGCAGTATGTCTGTTTCCACTTGTCCTAGCAACAGGAGGAATGAGTGATCCAAGATGGAGCCAGGCGGAAGCGACAGTGTCTTTTAAGGCCTGGCTTTGGGAGTCACACCCATCATTTCCGCACCGCCCTTTCGGTGATTAAGGTCAGCCCTATCCCATGTGGGAAGGGACCACACAAGGACCTGAATTCTAGAAGGCAAGAGTCACTGGGGTTCCTCTTGGAGCCTGGCTACCACCCTCTCTTAGAAGCAAAAAACTTTTAGTTAGCAAATAAAAATGTATGTAAAATACACACATTCTGTAATGTATCTTTCTCTTCCTGTTCAAAGCCAGGCATAAAACCTCTTGCTTTTGTTTTTTTTTTCTTTTGGTAGGTATTGATTGGCAGGTACGGCCTCCTTTATCAGGAGCTCCTACTCCTGGTAAAATGCCTGTCAACAAGAACCCCCACTTTAACAAGTCCCTTGCTAACTTGGTCATCCTTCGTGGAAAAGAGGTGCACAGTGCGGATCTGGGTAAGCAGGGGTTAAGGTGAAAACGAAGATGTGCTTTTTGCACATACATAGGGTACACATGGTTTAAAAAGAAAGTCCCTGAATTTATTCTTAGAGAGAGGAAAATAATAATTATATGTTTTTATAGCAAAATGAAGCCATTTTATCAGTTAGTATGTGACTGAACACCAAAATAGGGGTGGTTTAAACAAGACACAAATTTAATTCTTTCTTCCTGAATCTGGTGGTTCTATTGTCTTTATCTTAAGGCTTCTTCCTTCTAAGACATCTGTTAGAGTTCAGCCGCCACGTCACAGGTAAAGAGTAAAGGAAAGGAGTAAAGAAGGGTACAAGTCCTCCTCCTGGAGTTACACACCACACTTGTGTTTCCATCCATTTGACTGGGACTGAATCACATGCCACACTTAGCTGTAAGGTCACCATGAGCACAGTTAAAATTTGGGGGTTTTGTTACTAAAGAGAGAGAACAGGTCTTGTGGGACAGCTAGTGGTCTCTGTGCCAAGCATTTTGTTACAAAAATTTCAAGAAGTTGAAAGAGCAGTTCTCTTGTTAGTTTGTGTTTCTATGGCATGTCTCTAGATTTATATTATCCTTACTTGATGGTTTCAGCAGTGTCCAATTGGCTGCTTCTAGCTGTGATATAAAGAACACTAAACAATCTAGTTCGTGTAATACCCCTTAGATAAATAGTAACGATTAAAAAGGGAACATTTCACCCCAACCGGTTTGACGCTCTATCAGTGGATAGAGAGTTGGCCATCGGACCGAAGGATCCTGGGTACAATTCCGGTCAAGGGCATGTACCTCGGTTGCAGGTTTGGTCCCCAGCCTTGGTCAGGGCATGTGCGGGAGGCAACTGATCAATGTATCTCTTTCACATTGATATTTCTCTCTTTCTCTGTTATGATGAGTATAAATCATTTATCAAAAGCAATGTAAAGCTAGTTTTTAATTTTTTTAAATTTACTTTTTAAATGTAAGGCTATTTTTAAAAGGCAAAACAAAAGGTATTTGGTGAAGTGGATAAGAAAATATTCCTTTATTATTTGTTTTCAAAATTAATGATTTACAATGTGAACAATGGCTTATGTTGTTTTACTCCAGGGGGATTCAAAGACCCAGCCCTCTATACTTCCTGGTTAGGACCTGATAATGCTTTCAATATGTGGAAAACCCAGCGAGCCTTTAACAAATATGAGAAGTCTGCAGCATTGGTCAGCAACAGCCAGTTCTTAGTAAAACCACTTGATATGATTGTGGGCAAAGCGTGGAATATGTTTGCTTCAAAGTAAGTAAAAGATAAACCCACAAACCTGCCTAACCTTAGGCAGATAGTATCATGTTAAACCTCAGGGAAGGATCTGTAACAGCTTAGCCTGTTTGGGCTGCTTTGACAGAAATAGCATGAGATGGGTAGCCTAGCAAGAATCAGTACTTGATTCTCACAGTTCTGGAGGCTGGGAAGTCCAGGTTTAAAATGATGGCAGATTGGATGTCATCAATGGTGGTGAAAATAAACTCTCTGGTCACAGGTGGTGTCTTTTTTTCTGTGTCAGGACACAAAAAGGCACTATCCAGGTCTCTTTTGTGAGGGCACTAATCCTATTCATGAGGACTCCACCCTCATGACCTAATCACCTCCCAAAGGCTCACTTCCTAATACCATCACCGTGGGGGACACAAACGTTCCATCAACAACCTGGAGCAAGCATGGCTAACACTTTGTAGGTGTGAAACTTTAGGCATGTTACTCCAGGCTTCATTTCCTTATCTGTGTAAGGGGTCCAAACTGAGAGGACCTGTGGTGAGGATTAAATGAGATAATCATGTAAAAACATCTAGTGCAGTGCCTGACTAGTAAATGCTCAGTCATTGTTTATTATTATTGTTGCTGTTGACTAAATTAGTTTCTACCTGAAATGAAATTAAAGCAGAAATTTCATTATAAGACAATAAGATAGTTTTCTAAAATAAGATCCTTGAGCCCTAGCCATTTTGGCTCAGTGGATAGGACATGGGCCTGCAGACTGAAGGGTCCTGGGTTCGATTCCGGTCAAGGGCACATGCCTGGGTTTTGGGCTCAATCCCCAGTAGGGGACATGTGGGAGGCAGCCGATCAATAATTCTTTTTCATCATTGATGTTTCTCTCTCCCTCTCCCTTCCTCTGTGAAATCAATAAAAAATATATTAAAAAATAAATAAGACCTTTGAATAGAAGAGATCCTTATCTTGCTCAGATATATTGCAAGTGCAACTCCACTTGATACTAAGGAATGTCTACTTCATATTAAGAAATGTGTTATCAGGTTTCCTGACCTCCGCCACAGTGACCAGCTATCAAAGAAAAATACCTCAAACGATTGGACAAGGCCTCCACTTTGATTAACCAGGATTCCCAAGTTTATTGTCACTCTCTTGGACACTAAAAAGGCAGGGAGCCTGCATAAACTTTGAAAGTTTGCTAATCTAGCCGAAACTGCTTTGGCTCAGTAGTAGAGCGACTGAGGAGTCCCAGGTTCGATTCCGGTCAGGAGCATGTACATTGGTTGCGGGCACATCCCCGGTAGGGGGTGTGCAAGAGGCAGCTGGTCGATATTTCTCTCTCATCGACGTTTCTTTTCTTTTTCTTTTTTTTAATATATTTTTATTGATTTTGTACAGAGAGGAAGGGAGAAAGATAGAGAGTTAGAAACATCGATGAGAGAGAGTCATCGATCAGCTGCCTCTTGCACATCTCCTACCGGAGATATGCCCGCAACCAAGGTACATGCCCTTGACTGGAATCGAACCTGGGACCTTTCAGTCCCCAAGCCGACGCTCTATCCATTGAGCCAAACCGGTTTTGGCATCTCATCTACGTTTCTAACTCTCTCACCCTCTCCCTTCCTCTCTGTAAAAAATCAATAAAATATATATATATATATTTTTAAAAAGTTTGCTAATCTTTGGAGCCAACATGGAAGCAAAAGGAAGACTTTAAATGTTCCTGAGCTGGGAAAAGTCTATTTATTGCTTCATTTTAAGAGTTATTTATCTGTCTGGTATTTTTCATTTTACATTTTCTGTTTCTTTTGCCAGAGCCTACATTCACCAGTACACGAAGTTTGGAATTGAAGAAGAGGACTTTTTGGACAGCTTCACATTGTTAGAACAGGTTGTTGCCAGTTACCGCAATCTCTGATCTTGAACAAAAGGTTCAAGGGGAAAAATGCCTTACGTCACTTTGGGACTAAAATATTTTCAAGACTATTTTGACTGTATGTTTTCAAATTCTGAGCTTTTAAAGCTAGCCAAGTCAAATGCTTATTTCTTCTGCATACTGTGCCCACAGAATAGGAGAAGAACCTTTTAAATAGAGAATATCATCTTTTCAACAAAAACATCTACTTGGTATTTTCATTTGGAAGACACACAAAAATTGGTGCTTCTATAAAGAAGTTTGGAAACACTTTGCTGAGATGTTGGAACACTGGAACTATCCAAAAAGGGGAATATTCTGTTTTGTCCCTATATGCCTACCTCTTCCCTCTTCATTACAAAAAAGGATTCATTAAGTATGTGCTAAACTTTCGCAGCACAATTTTAAGTAAAGAAATTGAAATTCTGTATTTAAATGTATTTATCTTTGAAATGAACGTTCTGAACCACAAGAGGGAGCTGTTGTTAAATATTATAGGGTGAACATCTTGTATATTTTATTCTTTAACAGGTAAGATTTTCTACCTTCAGCAGCTATTTAAAATAAAACCAGGATTTTGTTAATAAATATACATCATGCTTAAATACGAAGGTAAATGAGTAATGGTTATTTTATATGCTTTTCTTAACCGTTTTGGTTATCAGAAAATTGGGTTTGTTTTTCTTGTAGATTTTGGAATGCCAGGGCAGAAACTGATTTTATTCCAATTAGTGCTTTTAAGTTATTAATAAGTGTTTAGAAGATGGTTATGTGCTTTTCAGTAAAAGGAGTAAGAGCTTTCACCAAAATTTCACAAAGTTGAGAAAATTATCATCAAGGAAATACTGTGCTTGATAGAATTGGCACATCCAGAGGTATCGGTTTCACTCAGGACAAAACACAATTGCAAGTTGGCAACTGAGTTTGTGGGGAGTGGTGTACTTCAATAAAACACATCCCATGTGATGTATTAGCAAATGTAAAGTGGGAAACAGGAACATTTGCCCTCTCTGCCAAATCTATCAGTAGTGATTTATTTTTATTTGGAAAAATGACAGTTCACAGCTTCACTGGCTCTTCCTTTTCTTTCCATATGGAAATGATTACCTTTTTGCTGTTTTTCTTATCAACTGTTGCTATGATTTAAAATACTAAACCATATCTTACTTCTAAGGAATGTATAAAGTGGCCTATCTGTTCAGCTGCTAAAGGGCACGCCCCACCGCTGTATTTTGTTAACCCAAGTATGCTTGAAAAATAATTACATCATAATTTTTACAAAATAACATTAAAAGTAATTGTTTGGCACTGAAGAGATTCTAAGACTAAATAAATTTTCCAAATTAAACCAGCACTAGTAAATATCTGTAACTGAATGATCTCACCAGGGCTAAGCTGATTCTGAAGAAATTTGCTTAAAGTTTAAAGAAAGTCTTAAGTTGAAATCATTTTATATTTAAGAAAGGTACCATAGGGACAAGTATATTACTAATTTGGCAACTCATGGAATCAATGGCAGGTGAATATTAAAAGGAAACCAGCATGGCTCCGGTAGTTGTGGCTTAGTAAGTTGGGCATCTTGCCATGCACCAAGAGGTCACTGGTTTGATTCCCGGTCAGGGCACATGCCCAGGTTGCTGGCTCAATCCCCAGTGTGAAGTGTGCAAGAGGCAGCCAATCGATGTTTCTGTCTCTCCCTCTCCCTTCCTCTCTCTCTAATATTAAAAAAACATTAAACCCCACTTAGGCAGAGCTCTGAGTCCACTCACTTATGTGAACCTAAATATTTGCAAACTTGTTTTAAACATTTACACAGAATTTTTTTTGTCTATTTGCTTTTAGGGCTAGGATTTTGACTAAAAAATTAACACAAAGAAGCGGATCCCAAACTTCAAGATAAGGGGTGGCATTGCAAATACACTTTGTGTGCACAGAATGGCCAATCAGCGAGGACCACAGACCAGAAAATTCCTGGGCATACTGAGATAGCAGCTTGGGACATGTAGTTTCTTTGGTGGCCCCTGGAGCACTGTTTTCACTCAGACATCACCCCCTAGGGCCAGGATGCACCCTATCGGCAGTGAGCACAGTGTAATTCCAACTGCTTTTTGTTTTCAACCCTTTCCACTCTCCCCCACTTAGACTTTTCTCCAAGAGCTCTGCAGATTGTAAAACCTGTTTCTTCCCATTCATTTCCACTTGCTTCTGGGGGTGTTTGGGTGCTCCCCACCCAATACTATCCAGTCAATCTGCAACATCTTTCTCCTTTATTTAAACTAGGGGTGTCGAACTCAATCAGAGAAGGGGCCAAAATCTAAAATCCAGCCTAAATCGCGGGCCGAATGGTTTACTGAACAGTCATAAACTGTCATTGTGATGGAAACGCAGCGGAGTGCAGTGATGACAGTGCGGTGCGGGCCACATTGCAAGGCCTGGCGGGACAGATTTGGCCCGCGGGCCTTGTGTTTGACACATGTGATTTAAACCATCACTTAGCTCTGGCTAGTTTGGCTCAGTGGACTGAAGGGTCCCGGATTCGATCCCAGTCAAGGACAGGCTTGATCCCCAGTAGGGGGCGTGCAGGAGGCAGCCAATCAATGAATCTCTCTCATCATTGATGTTTCTATTTCTCTCTCCCTTCCTCTCTAAAATCAATAAAAGTATTAAAAAAACAGAACACAAAACCATCTCCTAGAACTCAGTATGTGTGCCTGCCATTCACTGTTCTGTCAGTCATTCAACCAGTTCAGTGTCAGGCATGGGACAGATATTAAGAAACAGAGACCGCTGGGACCGGTTTGGCTCAATGGATAGAGCATCGGCTTGGGGACTGAAGGGTCCCGGGTTCGATTCCGGTCAAGGGCATGTACCTTGGTTGCGGGCATATCCCCAGTGGGGGGTGTGCAAGAGGCAGCTGGTCGATGTTTCTCTCTCATCGATGTTTCTAACTCTCTGTCTCTCTCCCTTCCTCTCTGTATAAAAATCAATAAAATATATTTAAAAAAGAAAGAAAGAAAGAAACAGAGACCAAGTCCACGTAGACCAAATGAAGATGTTTACAATGTCGTTACTTTCCTTTGGCTGCCTGGTGCTACAAGTCTAGCTTCTTTATTATTGCTTTGGGTCTTGCCCATGTCCACCCAACTTTTTTGCAGGAGGACAATGAGCGTGGGGAAGGACAATGAGCGTGAGCTCTGGTCTAGGCCTGCAGTTTGTCTGAAATGCCTCCTCCCTGGCTCTGCAGAGCCTCCCCCCAGGCCACATACCAGCGATTCTTCTGCTGACCACCATGTTTATCACACTTGAAATTCTGTCCAAAAAATTCAAAAACATGCTCCATATGTTCCTATCCCACCATTTTCTCTCCATGAGTCCAAGGTTCGGCAGTCAACCCCTTCTTGTTCTCCTGCTTAACCATTATGGCTTTACCCACTACCAGGTCGTTTTGGGCAACTAACCAGTTACTTAAGCGATGTTTGCTTATCTGTTCAATCACATTGTTTCCTAGGAGTTTTAGGAATGGGAACTGAAAAGTAATGGCTTTACATCTTTAACTAAATGATTTCCTACTTCTGTGCTCAGAAGTGTCTCAGACAATGCACTGTCAGCCTTATGAATAAACAGAATTCCATTTCCACTAGCAGAAATGCTTCTGCACGAAGTTAAGATAAACAATGTAAATAGTTCAAGTTTTGGGGGAACCCAGCTATGGAGTCAGTGTTGAGAAGATGTGGCATTCAAGGAGAGGTGGGAGAAGACAGACAATCCCTTAGATGCTAGGGAGCCAGAGCAGCAGGAAGATGAAAAGGAGAGCTGACGATGCCCCCAAGTAACTGATAACAGCTTAGAAGCATTTAAAAAAAAAAAAAAAAAAAAAAAAAAAGACTTGATGGTTTTTGAATTATGGACTTCACCTAGTGATAAAAAATCTAATAACTAGTAAGAACAGTTTAAAAAGAAACAGTAAGCCCTGGCCAGTTTGGCTCAGTGGATAGAGCGTCAGCCTGCAGACTGAAGGATCCTGGTTCAATTCCAGTTAAGGGCAATGCCTGGGTTGTGGCTCGATCCTGGGGGGATGTGCAGGAGGCAGCTGATCAATGATTCTCTCATTGATGTTTATATCTCACCCTCCCTTCCTCTCCGAAATTAATATTAAAAAATAATATATAAACAGCCGAAACCGGTTTGGTTCAGTGGATATAGCATCAGCCTGCGGACTGAAGGGTCCCAGGTTCAATTTCAGTCAAGGACATGTACCTGGGTTGTGAGCACATCCCCAGTAGGGGGTGTGCAAGAGTCAGTGTTTCTCTCTCATGGAAGTTTCTAACTCTATCCCTCTCTCTTCCTCTCTGTAAAAAAATCTATATATATATATATATATATAAATAAACAGTAAGCTAGATTATGTGTCCCTTACTTAGCAAGTAATTCTATCTTATCTAAATTTACCTCCTTTGCCAATGATGCAGCCAATAAGGTGGCTCTCTTGTCCTATTTAAATTTAATTATATTCATAGTGAGTACACAAAAACTCAGGTTCTATACCCATGCTGCCCAGTAAGGTAGCCACTAGTCACGTGTGGCTAGTACTGTTTAAATACATATGGTTTTGAAAAAAGTAAAATAACAATATTTTAAATTAATTGTTGAAATGTTGTTGAAATAATTCATTTAACCTAATGACAGGTTAAATAAATTACACAAATTGGTATACCTGTTTCTTTTTAGATTTTAAAATGTAGCTACTAAAATTTTTAAAATGAGATATATGGCTTGCATTGCATTTCTATTGTATTTCTATCCAACATTTCAGGAGCAAAGTCCTGGGGATTACAGAAACGACTTGAACAAAGCTTGTCCTTACTAGATGACAGCGGGTCATAGGTACATGATAGTAAGAATAATGAAACGCAAAAGGTGGGTGTTTCCATTTTGAAAAAAAAAGGGGAGGGGCTTTTGCTTAAGCTGGACTCACATGAACAGTATGAGTCAGGATGTGAGCTTAATTCAACAAACGTCCATTGAACACCTACAAGGAAAACCACAGAGGCAGATTTTACAAATGAGTTGAACCTGGCCCCTGTCCATGAGCTCGCCATTTCATATATTCTTTGCTGCAAAGCAAATACCTGGCTCTTGGTAGAGACTCGATCCGTATTCACTGTCTAAGAAACAGTGGAGGAGACGGAGCGCTGCAAAACTGAAGGCACACAGGGAAGCCCCCAAAAGCTCCCAACTAACAACAGATCTCACAGCTGTTAGATGAAACTAAGGACCTGGAAGTAGAAATATAATTAAAAATACGTCTCTGAAGCCCTCTTATATAATTAAACGCTTTTTAAGACAACATAAATCCAAACACTATATTAAGAGAAAGAAGAGCCCTAGCTGCTTTGGCACAGTGGATAGAGTGTTGGCCTGTAGACTGACTGAAGGGTCCCAGGTTCGATTCCAGTCAAGGGCACATGCCCGGGTTGCGGGCTTGGCATGCATGAGGCAGCTGACTGATTCTCTCTCATCATTGATGTTTCTATCTCTCTCTCGCTCTCCCTTCCTCTCTGAAATCAATAAA